AAAAAATAATTTCAAATTAATATATTTTTTATTTTATTTTAATTCTCATTATCAACCATGAAATTATGTAATGTAAAAAGCAGCAATTGCCTTTAGATGACCTAATGCACGGTAATAATATACTTTCTTTGGGATCTGGTGTTTTCCAGCAATGATTAACAAAATATCTGAAGAACAGTTCTTTCCTAAGAAAAATCACAGCTGTCTGGGGGATGTGGGGGTATTTGTTCACCTTTAGAAATAACATGGAAATAGTACACCTAAGAAAGGTAAGATTTTAATGGATGAGTAGAGGTCCTGAAGATAGAACCAATGGATTGACAAATGTGCCTTACCTCCTCCCTCTGGGTTCAACAGCTCCACTTTGAAAGTTTTTTCTAATTCAGGAATAGAATTATCAGTGATGTTAACAGTAATGTACTTGTATCTTTCTCCTGGCTGAAATTCAAGCATGCCCATAACAGCCTGCAATAGGAAAGTTCCTTGTATTTTTGTTCAAGTCTAATGTTTTTATTCATATGAAAAAATAGAGCCTTGATATTGTTTGTCTTTGTCAAAACATCTACTTTTCACTTAAGCTTTTAAAAAATCTGCTGAATCTTTGTTATAAAAAAAAAGCACCTAAATTCACAGAATTATAAGCATCTGCATTCATCTACATTTTTCTACACAAATATCAGTCAGTTGAGCCAACACAGATACGTACAGGTTATTTTGTTGAACATGTACAAATCCCAGTACGTACAAACATAATCTTAACCTGTACATGCACCTGAATGCTCATATAAAGTTTAATATACCCAGTAACAATAGTGCATATCCCTTCTTGCTGCATTGACAATTGTCTTAAGAAAAAGAAAATTAAAACTAGAAGCTTTTCCTACGAAATAGAACGTGCTACACAGAAAGAAGGCAATAGTCACATATTTATTTTTAAAGTGAGTATTACACGTTCATCTGTCACATCACCATACAAAACAAAGTCTTTCTGTAAAAAGAATCATAGCTGGGCCAAAATACTCAAACTGAAGGCTATCTCCAGGACAAATAACATTAAAAAATTCTGAAATAATTACACACCTTGGCAGTGGCCATACCTGATAATCTTTAGGACTGAAAGCTGTGAGTGGCACTGTTCTGTATTCCACCAGAACTGTTCCAAGAAGGCCCTGTGCACGAACTACCAGTAATCTGATGCGTCCAACTTCTTCTTTAATAGTAATATGGGGCACAGCAGAGGCTGGCAGAATCATTTCATCACCGGGCTGAGGAGGTGGCCCCACCGAGAACTGCAGTAGACCTGGCAGACAAGAAGTACTACTTACCTGGCTTTTCACACCAAATTTAGATTATGACAATAAATTGAAACCAAATTATTTATAATATTTATATTTAATGTTTCTGAAATCAAAAAGCAATTCTTGATATGCCCTTAGGTCTCAATCATGCTATTTCCAGGGATGTGCTGTGTACCTTCCCCTCTCTCAGATATCCATGTCAGTCCTGATAAAGCCGCAATACAAAAATGAAATCAGCTCTTCCCAAAGAGCATCAATGTGGCACAGTATTGGGTACTTATTGGCATAATAAGCATGCAGAAATGTCTCTCTTCATCAGGAATTCTCATCCAAGAAAAAGTTTCACTGGATCAACGACATGCAGCCTTTATTTGGTCTCAGAAGGGAATCATCGCCTGTTTGGTCAGGGCAGCCTTGAAGCTTTTTTGTAATATTCTCAAGAAGAAGTAACTCAGCTTTCACTCTTGTATAAAAATTATGAACTAATCTCAAGTTAGATAAAGTGCAACACTTAGCATTGCTTCCTCAACTATCAAGGTTAAGCAAAGTTTTTATCCGTTGACCTAGTACTACGCAATTATCTGCAACAAGACTGTATCATCTCCATCATTGTTACCATATGGGTGGTCACTGGCTTTGATGTTGATATCAGTAGTTTCCTTTTCCGGATCTATACTTGCTCCACTGGTAGGAGTTGAACCTAGTTTTCCATCTCCAGACACTGCAGAGACTAATGTCACACGGAAATATTCATTTAGCTCCGGAATGTCATCATCAATAACATGCAAATTTAAGACCTAGAGAAGGACCAAATCATGGAGAAATCAAACCGTGCAACATACAGCACTTACGAGTTTCACGACTCTGCCTAGCTCATCAAATTCTTTGATTAGTCAGTCAGCTGTATCTGCAGTGTAGTTCTGAAAGTAATGTTGATATTTTTGGTTTCCACATAATTTAAGCTAACCTCTAGGATAATATTTTATGTTTAGAATATGTATTCCAAACAGAATGTTACCAAGCTATCAGAAATGGAAGGCATATTTTCTTAAGTGCTTCAAGTTACATAAATGCATAACCAAGCAAGCAATTATTTACTATCATATCTTAAAATAAGCATAGTTTAAATTGTGTATATTGAAAGTGAAATATCTGATAGATTTCAAAATCTTGAAGAAATTGTTCTTCTGAAGAGAAATTACAGTGATTAATCCAATTTAGAGAGCAAGTACCTCAAGCCTTTTGTGCCACCTGACACTTGAGATTGCAGATCATACTATTAATTAACATAACCTGCCCTGCACAGCCTAACATATTCACCTCAGACAATTCCAGCTTGCTATATATTGTGATGCGATCAGACAAACATACAGAAGAAAAAGTTTAAGTAGGTGATCGTATTTGGAGGCGTGGGAACGCGTAGCTTACAAACATCAGTGGAAAGTCTCTCAGGATATCTCACCTGATGAGCAACTGCTCCCAATCTGTTTCTTAGGGCCATGCCCATGACCTCCTCCACATGTAGACAACAAATTGGATCAGACAGCAGTGGAGCAAGGGGGTATGCCAGCCCCCTTCTCCACTAGATAGAATAAGGCAGGCCTCATCCATGCTGCCAGACTAGAAAAGCTTTGGAAATTTTTGCTTCACATGACTGTATGCAATGCAGTAATATGATTCAATGGAGAATCAAAGCTGAATAAACAGCGACATGAACAAACTATTTTCAGATATCACGAGCTTTTGCCAAGCTCTAATCACTTACACGGTTTAACCGGGATCAGATCCGCAGTTCTAGCGGAGCCACTGAGATCCTTTCAAATGGCGTCAGTGGGTTTCAGTCAGTCCACGCTGACTTCAGCAGAGGGATAAACGTGAAACCGAGAACAGCACTTTCTAGTAACAATTCACCCTTTCTATTTTACCAGCGCTAATACAAAACACACATTAACTTTCTACAGTATTGTGGTCCCACACTTCTTCTTCAAATAAATGTGAAACTCCTGTGCTGGGGGTCAGGACTGAATTCATAGAAACAGATTAAGCAAAAGGGACAGAATGTGGCCAACAGTGGTTGCAAGACACTTGATTACAGCAGTGAACTTTACTGCTGTCTTATTTAATTGATGCGGAGATAAATATGAGTTCCAAAACCTGTTCATTTTCCAATTTCAAAAGTAGCTGGATCCATTATTTCAGCCCAGGAGGATCTTCACTTCAATATACATATAGATATATATAAATTTAATATATACATATATGTAAGCATATCACATATATTATGTGCATTCAAACATACATACACACATAGTGACCCCTGAACCAAGACACACACAGATCTACAAGCATCTGTCGTATCACTTGTTCGTTGTCAGTGATGCAAAAAACCCTGCCAAATATAACAAAAGCCATGTGAAGGAAACACTCTCCTGCATGAAAACCAGTCAAGCACCCACAGAAGGTGCTTTCCAGCAGGTTTGCAAAGGACAGGATGAATAGTTAATAGGAAGGTAGGGTTTACCTCTGATCTCTGCCAAGGAAGGAATGTGATAGTGCCAGTGCTGTTAGAAAAATCGGTAACAGAGTAATTAATGCCCGTGGAATCAACCTGTGAGATAATGTAATTTATATACACGTAGTCTAGGGCTCCCCTTGTACGCTCCACGACACAGGATATAGTGGAACCCTCATCGGCAGTCTGGAAGGAAGAAAGAAATTGAAATGTTTGTTATTGTCAAAGTAAATCAAGGCAATAAATGCAAAAGATAGAAACTGTAATGCTAGTCAAATTGCCGTCATGTTACTTTCAGCACTTTTGGAGTGCTAGGAAGCTGAAACTAAACTTGATGGTGGTCAGAATAATCTTAGTGGAATTTGCAACAGCTTCTAGCGTGTCCCTGAGGACCACAAAGGTAAATGAATAACTGTACCCTGTTGTTTGTTTTGGACACAATCTCTTCCCCCAAACTACATGCCAAAGACAGAATCAAAATGCTTGAAATGTATGTGTCAAAATCAATGGGAACTATTGTTTTATATTAGTGTCAATTATTTTAATTTTCATTAGCGATAATTTAAAGAAAGATCTGGATACCCCCTTTCCCCTACTATGGGGGAAAAAACAATACATTAAAATTAAACTATACTATCATCATTCAGGAAGAACTTTCAAAAATTTTCTGTGCTACAGTTCTCTTTACAATTCTGTCTTCACAGAGAACATGACTTGAGCAGCAACAATTTCACATATTTGGAACAAAGTAAGTATTGATACTGATCGTATGTTTTAGAAAGTTATGATCATAGAACTAAAGTAGAAAACAATTTTATCTGAAAATTGCCAGAAAGGCTAGAGCTGTTTTAAGCACTAAATTTAGACTTGCTCTATAACACAGTGCAGATACTGCCTGTGCCTTCAGCTGCACAGTAGACAGATGTGCACATAAAGCAGTTAAACTACTGATAAAACAATGCTGTGTGTCTGCATCATCACTGAGAGCTGTAATCCTTCCCTGGTGATATGGACATAAGCACAAAACAATTAACATGCCATATAAATTTTTAATTTTGCTTCATGGTTGGTTGATGATCTGTGACATCACAGTATTATCAGTGGCATTTGAGACTGATGGAATCTATTATCATAGCATATGGTAGGCACATAGAAAGCAAACTGGATCGGATTGAAAGCCAGTATCACTCAGGCAAGATGGTGATTTTCAAACACATCGTAAGCACTTTGGTTAGAATGTAATTAAAAGGTCATGAGAGTTCCCAAACTGGAAAGTATTCTGAAATTTGTTTTCCAAAATAATCCAATACCAATGGAAAGATGTATCATGTTTTTCTCCCTCATAATTGATTACAGAAGTAAAAATGAATTATGTTTCAATCTGCCCTGAACAAGCAGCAAGTTTATATATGGCATATATGGTGGCCACCACCAAAGAATAAGTTAATGTTTAAAAAACCCCCAACACACAGCTAATATCAACTGAATTCACACCAAACATATGCAATTTATACTTTATGATAGCAAATGATTATGGAAAAATACATCACACCTTGTCATTGCATGGACTTTAGTAAAATTCTTTCAAACGTAGCATGTGACACAGAAAAATAAAATAAAATCTTTGTAATTATCCATTCTCCAAACAAGAAAATTAAATCTTATACTTTAATTGATAACCTGGTCTCAGATGTGACAGAAGTAAAGGAAAAAATGTTCATCTAGAAAACTCTAAGCTTTGGTCTTCAATTTATGTAATAAAATTAATTTTCTCAAGGAAAATAATTTGGAGCGATTTTTAAAAATTATATTGCAAATGCCAGTGAAACTGAGGCTGTATGAACAGAGTTTACCCATTTCCAAATTCTAGAAAAACTATACTTAACTACAAAAAATAAAAATGTGAAATCAAGGCCCTGTGCAGGTCAATTGGTCTTGCCATTAATTTTTCTGTGTCCAAAACTTCACCTATAATTTTCCTTACAAACACCTTACCTCAGGAATACATGCTCCAGTGAAGCCAAATAAACCATTAGCATTATCACTTTTCTGTATTCTTAATCTTGCTGTGGTATTTTCTTGTGAAATCCGAGCTCCACCACGCACAGAAATGAGCTTTAGGATGAACAACTCCTCTCCTTCTTCCTCTTTGTCATCCTTTGCAGACACTATGAACGATTTATTGGTCTCTCCTTGACGATACTCCAGATACCCAGAGACAGGGTGGACATCACTTTTCGCAGGAGTTGCATGGAGTTCATAGATCTCTGCTCGTGTCAATTTACGCTCATAAAGCCTTACATCCTGCATTAGTCCTGTGTACCTACTGCTGCCATTGACTCCTGCTCCAATTCTCATTATTCCTAGACCTGAGAAGGAAATTATAATTTTCCTCATGTTATTGTATTTCTTGAAAGTAATAAATCTGCAACTGAATAGCTGTACATGTTAAAAATCAATGGTAAACTGTTTATTATCCATGGATTAGGAATCATATTGATCCTGAAATGCAAAATCAGGAGGTTCATTGAGCCTCATCTCAGTGTTAAAGGTGGATCATCACAGGCCAAACAATTCCACCCTAGACTGTTCAGGATTTTCACCGTACTAGTTCTACCAGCACATTGTCACCATCCCTGATTTTTGTGAGACTTGGTAAACTCTCTCTTTCCTTCAGAGAGAGCTTTCCAGAGCACAACTGCAACTGCAACCCCTCTGACCTCTTGTTTTGCTAAACAGACCCCATTTTGTCTCTCTCTGTTAGGACAGTTGATCCATTCCGATGATACTCATCATCACTGCATTAGCCCTTCTGGGCACTGGGAATATGGACTTCAGAAACATACACCAAATTCCAAATGCTTTTTACAACAGCATTAGTACGTCTCTGTCTCCAAACAATTACCCTACTTGGCAAATCACAGGATCACAGCTGCCTTTTTTACAAATATACTGGGCTGGTAGCTCATACTCATTCCTATTGTGCTAAAACACATAGATTGCTCTTCTTTCCAGCTAATTTCTGGTTTCAGAAGAAACTGTGCTCTTGAGAGTACTGGCATACATGTGACAGCGAGTGTCAGCTCTAGAGACAAGCAACCACAGCAACTGATAATTGTACTGGGGCACGTTGCGGAGAAAAACTGGGCTGCTATGCTCACCACTGTGTAGTATCCAACATTAGATGGAGAGAGATGAAATCCTTACCTTATACTTGTAGTATCTCCAGACAGAGCACATCTCCACTAATACAGAAAATTTACAACAACTCAGACAGATCCTTCTAGCAACAAATGCATTATTGCATTTCACACATCTTTGTTTTAGAAACTGAGGGAAAAAACGATCCTTTCTCAGCTCCAGCACTGCAAGTCTGATGGACATTAATTGCAGAGGTACTACTTTGTTACAGAGGGCAAATTTATTTCTCTGACTCCAACCACCGGAAATCTACAGGCAGAAATAAAATACTACACTATACAATTAATGAAGTCTCCTCTCTATTCTCACTCTAGGTACATATATGCATGTAGATGTATATGCATTTAGCATCACTGTACGTTTTTAAATTGTCCTTCTTTGACTACAGAAAAGGCAATTATATTCAAGAAATTGATAATCATTCACTGCCTATCCCCACCAAAGAAAACAAGTGAAACCAAAGGCGAGAGGAAGAAAGGAAAAATTATGGAGATAATCTCCAATGGAAAAAAAAAGAGTATGTGGAAGAATGGGAAACTGCAAAAGGAAGAGTAAATATAAATGTATTCCATCCATATAATATCTGACTTTATAAAGGAATTGGTCTAATACTTCTCTGGTCACTGCTGTTAGTTCAGAGTGCATGTCCATAGTGGTTATCTACGACTAAAATCACATCTGGTACTATCCAGTTAGAGAAACTGAACTACACATGCTAATGTTCCTTGGAACACTATTAAAATTACAGGCATAATTTTCATACACCATGTAAATACTCTCTTAAGTAAATCCACACCCTGAAAAATTCTATTGCTTTCAAGTAATATAATACACAACTAGAAATAAAATCATTACTGTCTTTTGTTTCAGAAACTGAGGAGAAAATAGTCCCTTCTCAGCTACAGTGCTGTAAATCTTATAGAAATTATTAACTGCATACACATATAACAGTATGTATACATGATAAGCATACATATATAAATATAATTCTAAATTATCAATTATTTTCAAATTATTGCAATCCAAGCACTGTTAAAGTACTAAATTATTTTGAACTTCCCCCGCTCTAATTTCCATATGCTTTTTGAAAATCCTCAGTATTTTCTATCCATTCTTTTCAATTAACTAATCAGACACAATAATTTCAGCATCTTGCATACACCTGTCACAGAGCTAGACTCTTCTATACATTGCAGAACTTTACATATGGAGAAAAACAATGAAGGCTATTGGCTCACCATCAGCAATTGCTTCTCCTTTAAGGCTTTTCATTCCTCCCAGAACTGGAACTCCATCCATGTAAAATTCAATTATACCTTCATCCAGAGTAATCAGAAGGTGAAGCCAAGCATTTTCATCCAGATATTTCAGGACTGCTGCTTGAGCCATATATGTCATATTGGATCCTAATGCTGTATACTGAAGCACTACAGAAACATGAGAATCGTTTGTTTGGATTTTCACGCCGTAATATAAGGTTCCATTATCGTCATCCTTTTCAACTACATAACCATCAGTACCGACATTAGGAATTAACCATGCTGAAAATGTAAAATTGGTTACTGCATTATTTCCACTGTATGGGTATTCCGGACCAATAATCCCAAATGCATCCTCTTTTCCACTGAAATACAAAGCATCTGTTCCGCTGTGACGGCGCCTCATGTGAGGCTGGGATTGTACGGAACTTGGAAATGATCCCAGCAACAAGAAGTCTACCATTGATGGTAGTCCATCTTGGAACGTACTAGACAGTATTTCCCAACCTAACCGGACAACACCAAAGGTGCCTTGTTGTCTCCAGATGGTGAAGTCTGTAATATAGGAAAGATCATCTTCAGAAAGAACATCTTCCGCTATGTCTCTGTCCTGGCTCTCTGGATCTATCACAAAGACCCCAAAAGGGTCATCGTTGAATGGGATCATCACGGTTACAGCAAGGTTTGTTTCAGACAACTGACCACCAGGACCAGGAGACCCACCTATACAATGGAAATTAGAGCAAAAGTTAATGGTTGTTTTCAAACAACACAGTCTGAAGAAAGCTACTCATTGCTTACAAGTTTTAAAATAATATGTAATTAATTACATATAATGTAATTAATGTAATTAATATGTAAGTAATTAACTATGTGTCTAAAATGGCTTAAATCTTCTTCAAAGAGCCTCTAAAGTCTTAGAAAATGCTCCGACTTAATAATACAACCGTATTGTTTTAAAACACTATAATGATAATTTTCATAGAAAACAAAGCAGTATGCTATTTTTCAACTGCAAAACACGCATTTGTCGTTCAGCTAAAACAAGATTAGCTCCTACTTCTCTGAATTAGTCAATGGGATAGGTTACCTTTGATTCATTTGACAAACATGGGGCCAAATTCAGTTCTCATATTACTCCAAGATTTACATGAATATGGAACAGCAAAAATTTGGCCCATTGCCTCTGAAACAGAAGCAGGGATACCTTGCAAAATCAGTAACCAGTTGTGTATTAAAACTTCTGCCAAGTCCTGCCATTAGTCATCTATTTCTGCACAGTAAGAGTTCATGATAGGAAGATCATGAGGTGAATGTAGAGCCTCCATATAGAAAATGTGCAGTGATCTACCTATTACAAGTAGGAAATCTTTTGTGCATGCATATGGATTTCACTTACAGGAAAGGTCAACACGTATTTTCAGTTGTATCTGAGCACAGAAGACCACAAATAGTACTGAGGTGGAATGAGTCCAGGAGATTTGGAACTCTGCTCAGTAGCAGACCTGTACCAGTTGTTATTTAAGTCATATGAAGTGATAACTATAAGTATTTGGCCTCTTCTAGAAAAAAGCAAACCAACCAACCAATGTCCATTATGGTAGACTTGCATAGCCTTTCATAGCTTTATTTTGTCTTCAACTACACAAAGATCTATATCTCTGAAATCACTAAGAGGCTTCCTTTTTAAAGATCAGATCACCAAAATGTGTATAACCATTATTCAGGAACTGAATAACTGCATTCATATACCTAAATTAGGATTAAATGAAAAATAAAACCTAAAGCCTTACCAGAAAAGTATAGGATATCAAGACATGATTCAATGCAAAGCTCTTGCCAGGGTTGGTTTCGTTTTGATTGATTAAACATAATTCTTTTCTACCAGATATGAAGGGAATGGTGATATAGAAGACAATACCTGAAGCATTCACCAACTTCAGAATGTAAAATTCATTGAATTCAGGAATTCTATCTGAAATAGCATGGAGTGTTATTGGCTTTGATCCTTCACCATCCATGAAGAACACAGTCCCATAAGTTTCATAGAACTCTTCTCCTGGCCTCAGGGCAGAGCCATTATCAAACAGCTGCCAGGTCAATGAGACATTGCCAAAGTGTCCTCTGTGTCTCAAAACCCTGTTCAATGATACAGAAAGAGTGAACAGTCTGGCAGACACGCATCAGCATTCATTAGGAAGGGAAAACACAATTACACTAATCTTCCTTACTGTGAAAAATAATATACAACATTCTAAATAACCATGAACAATAAATACAACCATGAACAACAATACAATCCTCTTTGAAGGCCTGCCATTTCACAGCATAATTCTACTCCCAGGTATACCCCAGGTACTTTAGAAAAAAAAGAAACCGATGCAGATGCAAACAAAGTAGTACTGTTAAGCTAAACATCACTTTCTCTTGCAATTTTATGATGTAAATAATAAATAATAATGTATAATAGTTTAGCAAGTTAACATGAAAAATTTATATACCTGGCAACCCTTAGACGAGAAAGAGAATCATCTATATTTAACCACAAACATCTCTCCCTTTAACCATCAAGCCTCTTTAAACTCTTTCTTACATTGGTATTAAATTTGAATTATGTTCTACATCTTTCAGAAATCTGTGGTTATTCCAGATTAAGAATGTAGCAAATAAACCCAAGATCTTATTTTTTGTATAGCTATCTGGTAACATAATTTCACCAATTTCCAAAAGGCATGATAAATAAAAAACGAAGCATATACTGCCCTTATTAACAAAGTATTCTTTACATACAAAAACCATGCTTCTGTTTGCACAATAAAATGTTGTACAAAGAGATTATATCAGACTGAAAAATTAGTTCAGGAAAATTAGTCCGGGCACAGCAACACAATTACGTTGTTTCTGCTTCCAAAGGTTTTTCTTTTTTTGCCATTAACAAGGGCGCTCTATCCCAGCTGGGTAGGACTGTTGCAGTAACTCCAATTTCTCCCTTTAAAGCGCAGTGCTGCCATAGCTGTTCTGAGAGATTAGGTTATATGTTATTCTGATCCTTCTGTTGCATACTACACAACAGCCAAAGCAGTGAGGGTATGGAAGAGACAGCTCCCTAGTAAATATATTTCATCAAGGAGGACTGAGCAAGGTCCTCAAACACTGGTGATATTGGTATCATGTGCCTCCATAAAGCACCTGTAGAAAAACATGTTTAGTTCAAGTAATCATTCTTCAGACCTTCAAATAAAAAAAATCAAAAAAACCCACCTGCAAATAAGATTATAAAGGACAAAATAAAGCACAAAGAGCAGCATAACAAAACCAACCAAACACTATATTTAATACCTCTTTTTCTCAAGGATTTTCATTCTTTAGATGTGTAACACAAGGATAAAGACCTAAGTCATAGTCATAGGCATCTGCTTCAAGTCATTAAACAAACAAAAAAATCAAATAAAAAGATATAACAGAAAACTAAACAAATGCGAAAAGAGCCTCTTCCCTAACTGTTCACACTATTACATTTATTATGACCTAACTCCTCTTTATATCCTGTCTAGAGGTTTCGTAATGAAAAATCAGTATTTTTGTCAAATTATAATCCCATTCTGACTTTATGGAACAAAACAAGGTAAGATGCCAAGCAAATTCATTTCTTAACCCTTCCCATTTTTGAATACACCCCAGTGGCTGGAAGGAAAATACTTTCAAAGGTCAGACTAGGGAAGAGTATTTTCAGTCTAGAAGACAGTCACATTTGGACTTTGGGTATAGACTTCCATCTGTAATTAACAGATAGAAGAAAACCCAACTATCAGAAAGAATACAGTAATATGGGTTGTTTGTAGGGCAAGGCTTCAAAGTAGGGTGCAAAAAGAAATGAGCAACCACATAGTCATATTTAGCTGTATGTTGACTTTTTTATTTCTCTGTTAGTCCAGGTTATATTCTGCTCAATCATCAAGATTCCTCTGTATCTAAAGTCTACCAAGAATATAAGAAAACAACAATACCATAGTCTTATTTATTTACATTTTAACATTAATTTCTGTATACATTTTAAAATGATAATATAAAACAGTTGATGTCTTCAGTATGTTTACAGATCATTTAATCCAAAATTTATTAAAGCTATTTTCCCTTAATACTTTTTTATCAATGCAAACTTGTACGGGATTAGATCAAAGTACTATCCATAAAATACCATAAAGTTGCAAAAAAGTGCAAAAGCATTGTTTTAAAGTTACTTACAAAAAAATGTTACTTTTGCCTTCTTCCACTGTCTTCTCTAAAGTCTCCAAGGAGAAAATTCCATTAGGATCATCATTTGCTTCAATAATAACTGTAGCCACTCCAGCCTTAAAGATAACAGTATCCCCTAAAAAGAGAGTGATGAATTTTATCAAAACTGGAATCAGAAATGAGTGTGACTCTAAAACCGAAGGTGTTTCCTTCTCACTCCAACAGCTTTTATGCAAACAAAGAAATGAACAAAGATAAAACAATCAGTGAAAACCAATATTTGAGATATTCAGTAACAGGGAAATCAGAGTAAAAATACTTCAGTAGCATCTCATGCAGAGAGCAAGACATAAGATTTGCAGGAAAAAATACATGTGACATGACCAGAGAAGATGTGATTGTGAGCAGAAAGGATTTTATGGGAGGTTGTATTTCATGTTTGATCAACTAGTCAAGTCAAAATAAAAAGATATGTATTCAGGGTTCCCAGCTCTCCTTTAGACCTAGAATAGAAATATTGCACTTAAACTACATACAAGCTAAGAACAGTATCCAGGAGTTTATTCACACCCATATCACAGCCTATCTGAAAGGCAAAGATATAAGATACCTGTGAAGTAGAGGGGAACCTAGTAGGATTTCTGTGTGTATATTAGCACTGTAGAGACATTCTAACACCCTTCCTATGTCCACACATGTGCATTGTGTTTCCACCCCCATCCCATTTTTCACCCTATTTAAGAGCATTAGACTAGCTTTTGTTCCAAAGTAAACAATGTATTTACTGCTTTAACTTCATATATAACTCTATCTGTATTTTCTCTGAGGTACAACAGTGCGACAATTTTCAAAAGGGATGTAATGATCAAGGTCAATAAATGTAACAGATCATAGAAAGAAAATTTTGGTTTTTTGCTTTCAGGAATGCATATAGAAATATTCTGTATTTTTTGTGATTCTAGAGAGGCTGTGTGATGATATGACCCTCCTTTTAGAAGCAAAGGGAGACTGCAGCTACCCATTCCTGTAGGACCAGTGCATTGGGAGGAAAGCCATCACATGTTCCCAACAGAGTGGTAAGAGAAAATACCAGTAGATCTTGAAGAAAGTAAAGTAGAAAGAGATCATCAAAGAGAAAATTTAAGAAGAGAGAAGAATGGCTTTGTCCAATCACTTCTGTAAGGCTGATGTTCTGTAAGAGACATGGGTACCAGCGTGAACGCCAGCTGACCTTAGGAAACAGATAAGCTACCTTTCTGTAAGGCTGATGTTCTGTAAGAGACCTGGGTACCAGCGTGAATGCCAGCTGACCTTAGGAAACAGATAAGCTACCTTATACTCAAATAATTGGTAAAAATTCCTCTATATTCTCTGGCTGCCTGCTACCAACGTCTGGGGCAGATGCAGCTGGAGATCAATGAAGCCTTGTGAGCAATTCATAGACCAGCCACAGGGTGTCCACTTTCGTGTGACCTGAAGCACTCTCTTAGTCTCCTTGGCTGAACCAGATCATTATAGACTGTAATGAGGGATAAGACACTTAGTAGGCATGCCTACATGAGGAAATCTAATTTTATATTTCCTCTTCTTGAATTGAATCCCTGGTAGGTGTTTAACTTTCTGACCACACAATCTAATGTGAAAGTATAATCTGATGGTTAATTGTGATAGTTTTCCTTTGCTTTATTAAATTATAGCCCCTCAAGTCAGTTCTTGTTTTGATGGATTCTCCAATTTAGTTTTAGTTTGCATTGCAAAGATATGCATTGCATTCACAACCTGTTATTAGCTACAGAATAACAATACCTGAAGGACAGTCAATCATTAAAATTTGCTAACATCATCGCAGATGACTCTCACACTACACCTTGAGTTTTGGCAGGACTAGGGGTGGGGACGGTGTTTATTAAGCAGGTAGAGCTCTGCTTTTCCTTAATAGGAAAATTTACCTATTTCTTATATTTAACTTATATTTTCTTATCCATATTACACAGCAGTGATGGTTTATTCCAGAAGACGTCTATTCAAAAACAGGCATGCGCTGAATAATTTTGTATCATTTTGTGCTAAATAACTAAAAAAAAAAGAAAAAGACAATGTTATTTCTAAGATAATAAACCCATTCTTTACTGGTGGTACCTTGGGTAATTTCTAACATACATTTTTCTGTAGATTAAGCCTTGTAAAATTATAATGTCAGACCGAAAAAAAAAAAGTATGCATTCACTGCACTACTACAAAAATAAAACAGAGACCAATTTACATGGTTTTCCTCTAAAATGAGACAGTTCTGTTTGTTTTTACAAAAATCAGGCAGTTGTGTAGTATACAATGGAGCATGGCAAAAATCTAAAAGAATTCATATTTACCTAAGGCTGTTGGAGTACTAACACTTTCCCTAAGGCTGTTGCAGTACTAACATTCTTTAGCCTTGTGTTTCTGTAGTCAAGTTAAAACCCCATCTAATTTGGAGCATTTACATTTGAAAAGAGACTTTCACTCCAGTTGTTTTTGCAGGAAAAATTTCAACCGTATCATTTTATTTTTGTTTCCAATTAAACAATTCAAGATGAAAATCCAAACACACTGTGTAAAGTAATTGCATAGAAATGTTGAAGCAAACCTTATTCATGTAATACTTGGCACTTAGATATTGCTTTATGATAAGACCCAGCCGGTAAAAAATTGCAGAAAAAAAGAAAAAGGAGAGTTACTAAACATACATTAAATCATTAATTTTACCTGTAGAATTCAAAAGGAAGATATAAAACATTTCATCAGTTTCAGGGGTATCATCATCATTAATATACACAGATAAGTTCTGTTCTCTTTCTCCAACATCGAACAAAATGACGCTGCTCCTTCCACTGGGAATGAAGTCTCCCTCTTCAGCTGTTGCATCTCCATTAACAGTGATATACTGGACAGCAACAGCAACATCAGCAGATCCATTCCTTAGGACTGTAAAGTTTGCAACACCTCCTTCTTTAACGCTCACTGTCAGAGGTTCTGAAAATACAGAAGCAACAAATCTACCTGAGTTCAAGCCTGAGCTCCTTGCACGTGCCCTATTTTCCTAATCCTCCCCAGTGAAACAGAAGGTGTATGTGGCAAAGGCATGGAAATACTTGTGGGTACAAGAGAATATTGTTGTTCTTAGCCACCTAACCCATCCCAGCATCAACAAAGAGAATAACGAAAGAAAATACAGGAAGCTTCTGAAGGAAACAAATGCAAATTCAACACAACAAAAGACATCAACATTTTATACTAGTTCCATTGGAATTAGGATTTGCCAATGATCTGGTCCATCAATAAAATCTGTTTAGGGTAGTACATGTATTCTACATTTAAAACCAGTAATATCTAACCTGCAAAATAAATGGGATCATCATTCCTTGTAATCTGTAAAAATGCACTGGTTATATTACCCAGCCTGGCCCCACCAGTAGCATTGAATAAGCTGATGATGAATACTTCCATCTCTTCAGGTACCTGAAAGTATTACAAAATTAATTTATTGCATACAAAACAATGAAGAAATTAAAATGAACAGATGAAGGGATTAACAAACCAGAGATTTCTGAGTGTTGTTTTTTTATTTATTGATCCTTCAGTGTGTCAAGAGGGATGACAAATGACAGTCCGTACAGTTACAGAGAAATCATCATCAGTCTAAAATCCTTCTAAATAAGTCTCCTCATCTTTACTGTTGGACAGATGGCCCTAAAGTTATCTTTAAGTTTCCTGCTTCTGAAACATGTAATTTATTTTTACAGCTTTATTTATTTATTAAGTACTCTCATTCTTTCTTTTTTACTTCAAATACATCAGCATTAAAAATAAAAATTAGGATTCCTGTTATCAAAACAATGGGTTTATTCAAATTAAATTTTCTATAATTTAACCACATTCAACTATTCTCAGCTTCTAACTGTTTTTGTTTATAGGTATGCACAGCTTTTCAAATTCTCTTATGATTTGCTAAAGTAATCTCAGTTTTACCCAAGTATTTTGATTTTTCCTACAAACACCTACCAGGCTCTTAAAAAACAAACATTCCTTCTTTCTCCTTAAATTGTAATGTTTTAGCGCTTAATCTTTCTCCCATATACTCACACAAAAACACTAAAAATATTTACCTCATCTGGCAATGAGTAAATGGTGATATTTTTTGAAAACTCCAGATTATCAAAGAAAATAGTCCCTTGTTCTGGATAGACGTCATTGGTACATGCTGGGTCAACAACCCAAGACACACTAACATTGCCATAGCTTCCTTGGTTTCTTACAACTCTGTAAGCAGCTAAAAAATTGAAGCATATACAGTCAGGGTGCATCTTCAGAACAGAAATCAAGAAGAAAAAGGTCAGCAAAGATGAAACAAAGAAAAAGGAAAGGAAATAATAAGCAAATTCACTTCTTGCAAAACCAATAATATGTGAAAGAACTACATGAAAGGACATAAAAGAGAGACCATTATTAAAGCAGTTCAAACTTGCTCAAATTTGTTAATTTTTGCCTATAAAAATACTTGATAATTCAATAGAAACAGATAAATCGAAGTCACCTATATGAAGATTTATCTCCATTCTTCTCTCCCATAGCACCCTATTCTTCATGCTCCACAAACAGAGCTACTACCTCCAGGTCGCACTTTGCACATACATCAATATTCCATCCCTCCTGTCTGGCATATTCTCTAGCCATTTTTTTACTGGATTGATCCCTCTGGCTTTCCAAGCCCATCCTTCTCCAGCCTCCACCGCTCATCATGCTGGCACTGTACCACTCTGCAAACTCCCGAGTGGAGACTGGAGTCAGACATTGTCCTAGAAAGGTGAAATGGGGAAAAGAACCCTTGCAGGGGCAGACAGGAGATCTAATAAAAAAGAATTACCAGCGTAGACGATTTCTCCTTTACTTTCCCTTATGGTGACTAATAGTTCATCAGGTAGAAACTGAATGACACCGTGTGGATCATCATTCTTCAAAATGGTGATGTTGACCACTGTGGCATTCCCCAACTTGCCTGGCATTTCACTGTAGCCACTCAGTACCACAGAATATATCTCGTCCAGCTAGAAGAGGGAAACTCAGTCAGAATAAAAATACATATTCAGTGTTCACATACAAAACAAATGGGCAAAGATCCACAGTCCCTAGCCAGGCAGAAAGACGTATAAATTTAAACAAAAGGAAATCGCACACACTTTCTACATCCATGATGTGTTCACACATTGCCATCAGAACAAAGACACAATTAGAAATTTCTCTCTCTGATAGGATTATTTTCTTCCAAAATCTAGCATTATTATAGGCAAGGACTTATTTTGTCTACTTAACTTAGAATTACATCAATTCACTACTACAAATCTATTTGTAACACTCCCTGAAAGCTACGTTATCTTTTCTATATGATTTATTAACATTTCTGGCTTTGTAACAGGGAAAGCAAAGATTTTAAAACCACACTAATTCAGAAAGAACGTATCAGCTTGCTTTATTAATCTAATGGGACTTTGTACTTCACATATTTCTTGAAAAAAGCTCACAGGTAATACTTCAAGGAACATTAAAACAAGTATAGCATCTATGTATCTATAAGATCAATATTAGTCCAGACTGGGGAACACTGAGTGAAGCTACCAGATGATTGCTAGAAAAAAAAACAAAAAGGAAGTGGGTCTTCACACAGAGTTCAATTAAACAAAAGCACTCTATAATACAGAATGTCACGGATGCGAAAAACTCACATGGATTCAAAGCGTAACTGTTTCAATTCACAGAAAAAAAAATCCACTGAGGACTAATAAACCCAAAGACACCTTCTATTTAGCAAGGAATGCCAGGTTTGGAGGCTAGGAAGACATTGGGGAGAAAAGCCATTACACACTTATTCTGCACCTATATATTTGCCTATATTTTAGTAAGTGACAAACTAGTACGCCTGTGAACACAATCTGAAGAAAGAAAAATATTATTTTTTACCTCTGGAATCCCATCCATCCTTGTCAGAAGAGTAATTATGATCTCTTTTTCACCAGGCTTAAACTCCAGAATTCCCGTGCTTCCATAGAACTCATTATTGTCTCTTGGTTCTACAGTGTAGCGCAGAAACTGCCCAAGGAGACTTCCTCTGCTGCGGACAATCTGCAGCTCGACAGACTCTCCTTCCTGTAAAAAAGAAAATCCAGCTTTTTTCTAGCACTCTGCATAAACTAAGTTGTCCACAATGATTAAAATAAATTGCTCAGATAGCTACCTTGATACTGTAGGGACCTCTGGAAGAAGGAGAAAACTCAAACACTCCTCCAGGATCATCATTTTCCAAAATAATAATTTCACAAGTAGTAAACCCGTATTTCAGTATTTGATTTTCCACACTGACTCTGAGAAAGGAAGGCAAGAGGTTTTTTTGAGTGACAATTCTGTTTCGCAAGTAAATTCACCCCTGTGTGAAGGACATCAGAATACTGATGAATTTTATTAATAAATTATGAAAACAATTACCTGCAAAGAATAAAATAAATTAAGAAAGACATATCAGTATGTTTTATCCATTTGTAAAAAACCCCTTTGTTTCCAAAGTAACTTTGTTTTCTGATTAGTTTTTATAGTTGGTGATTCTAGCTTTTTTTTAGGCACACATGCACACAAAACACAGGAAAAGAAACAGAATTGTGCAGTAAAAAGTTAGAGTTATATTCAATATTACTTGGTATTTGGATCAAAACATAAAGGGTAATCCAAAATCACTTAAACAAACAGAAATCACATTGACAGCTACACGTTCTTACCCTCTTCTGCAAAAATTTACTATTGCTACAAACAGGAAGAGACTTGCCCCTCAATATTGTGGATTTCACCCTCAGCCATGTGTTAACCTGCCTTCTCTAAGATGTGGACACTACCTGTAGGATCCCACTCTGGCTCTAGTAAGTGTTGGCCCTACTCTCAGTAGTTCAGACTCATTCCCTTTCTTCCTCACAAACCTGCTGCCTAAAAGCATGTGATGAATGGTGCAGACATGTGCTCCTCAAGGTGGAGGACTTCTCTCCCTGGGCTACACCATCTTGGTCTTACTCATGGACACGAATGGGCCATATCTGACAACAGAAGGAAATCTTGCGCATTTCTTGTGTTCATTTCCTCAGATATGCCAATTTTCAACGACATTGTTTTAAGTTCACTATATTAAAAATGCCAGAAAACGTACTACTGAAGGATGCATCGTGAATGGACCTTCAGACGGACGGTTTAGATATGGCTTATTACATGGTGTTTTATGTATTTAGATTCCTGTGCATCTTCCGTGTTTCCTGGAAGAATATTTCAATGAAATCTTGGTCCAACATATTGAAAATATTTTTATGGTTTCACCGTACTACAACTCTAGACATTTTCAAACACTATTTCATCTAGAAAGAAATGTGATCTATTATATCCAATTTTTTAAATCAGTTCCAGAACTGTTTCCACAAACACTCCATAAATAACTGGAATGCCCCCACACAAAAGAAAAATATCAATGCATCTTGTAGCAAAGACTACAGGCAGGATACAAGATGCAAAACAGGAAATATCTATTTAGTAGGGTAATGCCATGTTTATTGCACATTAAAAAAATGTCAGCAGACACAATAACTTGACTTAATATAGACTAAATGTAGGTTATTCAAAAACAAGATGACCGCTCATCTTTGATTGCAGAACACTTCTTTATAATTCTAGTCAGTTCAGTCATTTAGTTGGGGCAAATTGTATTTGTTGCAGTTTAAAACAAATAATCCATTATTGCATCAAACGCTCAAATATCAAACACTGAGCCATGCATTCATAACTTTCATCATTCACAGATCCTAAATAAAGAAACGCCTTCAAGCCAGAACCTCATGCCATCAAATTAAATACCAAAGGGCAAGCATGCATTGTCTGAAGAGATGCAGAGGACATGATTACTGAGAGGAAAAGAAAAGATAAAGACAGATTCTGTCCAAAACAACCACTTTTAAAACAAAGCATTGATTCTCTGAAGACAAACTACAGTTCACTGCACTTACCCAAAATACACGACAAACCTTTCTGTCTCTACCCTGTCAACACAGAAAGAAAGAAAAGGGATGGGGGAAGGAATGAAAGTGCCACTTGCTAGAATTTCAATAGTACTAATCTTAGAAAAGAATAATAATAATTAAAAAAAAAGAAACCCACAACACAAAGCTTTCTTTTTCCTTTCCAAAAGCTTATAATGTCGATTTTATGGGAACCCTACTTGGCATTTTCCTGTTGACAAATGCTATCAAGTGGGCAGTTCCCACTTAGGAGAAATGACCCCACAACCAATTCAGCATGTCAAGACCCATTCATGGTATACCCTACCAAGCCCTCCTCCAACAGCTCGGTTACTACCAGCCTCCGTCCCTGCTCACTACTGCACCAGCAGAAATAACCCTTCAACTAAGAAAAAATATCTACATGATATTCCTTGATATGTTGTTTCCATGATATGTTGTTTCATCAATCTGTCAAAGTAATGATAAAAACAGGTAAGCGCAGTGGGAGTTGTACTGGGTATATATATCGAAAACTATTTTGGCACAAAAATCACAAAATTAATTTCTAACAATTTTTCATTTAATCAGATTACCAAAGTAAAATAATAAAAATAAAAATATAACAAAAATACAAAAATATGAAAATAAAAGAGTATTTGCAAATCTCTTAATTGGTTCAGTTTCAGTCAAGCACTCATACTATATTTGGTAACAAAACTACCACATCAAGTCAGATGGAAGGGCAGTATTATTCTGCAATTGCAAGCATGCATTTTGGCTTTCTTAATCTAAAACAAATACAAATTAAATATAAACCCTGTATCTTCTACCAAAACACCATAAACAGATTGCTACAGAATTGATAAAGTGAAATTCTGACTTCACTAATCTCATAAAGAACTCAGATTCAGAATTCAATAGAGATAAGTGCTCAAAATTCTGAGAAAATAAAGCAAATACATTTCCAGATACATTCTGCATTAATAAAAATATGAATTAATAGAAAATTTTTCATTGATTTCCAATGAGGCTAGCTTTTAAACACTATACATTGAGACATTCTCCCTTCCTTCAGAAACATTTGCAAAAGACTTCTGAAACAAAGTTTTGGAATGAAAAGATCATGCAATGAAGAGATCAAGGAGAAAATTCCAGAGTTAATGCTAAAATTTAATTAAATCACTAAGCTGTTGGTAATATAATTTACAACAGAGAATACAAATGAACCATTATGTCAAGCAAGTTTTTGATATGTATGCACAAGCTTAAGTAGTTAAGACATAATAATTCATCAGTAAGTGAAAGGGCATGCCACAACTAAAATATCTTTTGGCTTCATGGAGTTACACTGCGTGACTCCAAACACAGCTCAGACAAAAAAGCCTGTTAAGATGAACTGAGGAGTAGTGATAAAATCTAATAGTGTGCTGAAATGCACAAAGGCAGCATTGCAGAGATACAAGGGGCATCAGAAATGAAACAGTCACAAGGTACCATGAGTTGTGCATCTTGAGCATCTCCACGTGATCCTTGAAAGGACTAAGAAGACTGGCAATACCTTATTACTTCTAACCAGTCACAGTGTAAGTCAGATAGATATCGAGAGAACCTCCAGGTCAGAAAGCAACTAGTCAGATTCAGCCTATTCCCTGCTAAAGAAAATCATCATTTGGGAGGTTTCTCCATCCAAGTCCCATTTTCAACACTAGGACCACTTGAATGATTGATTGGTTGATCTGACCATGTTTCCTCTGCAGGACTGACCAGATTGCTATCACTGCTCTGACATAGTAAATGTTGGTTACTATTCAAAAAAGGCATAAAATAGCCTACGCAAAAATGGGCTTCCAACTCTGAGCTGCTGTTAAATGAACAGTGTACGCAACAGGATCCCTCATGTCGACACACTGAGGTACACATATATGAATTGTCATAACCATCATCCAGCCTAAACCTGACATGTGTTCCTGGCCTGACCTGCCCCACCACCATGACCTTGCACAATGCCCTGGGCTCCAGGTTGCTCCCAGTTAGCTGCTCCAGCCTGCTCTCCAGCCTTGCTGGGGGTGGTGGGATGGCCACACTATCAGGCTGGATCCCTGGCCCTATGCCACCACACAGTCCACGGGCCACCAGCCATCAACTCTTGCCACATGCCGTGACAACGTCGAAGAACAACTGTTCATATGCATTCCTTTCGTTGCAGAGTAAAGACATCCAAACTGCCGTGGAGCACACGGGGTCAGTTTAGTCCTCTTTCACCCTTTGTGGTATGTGAAACCATCTCTTTGGGCACTAAAGTACAACAGCAGTGTGGAAACAGAACAAAAATGGCTACTCAGAACTTCCAAAATCATGGTTTTCCCTGGTGAGGGCATTGAGAAGTAACGATAAAAGTTAAAACAACTTGTACACAGTCGCTTCGCCATACCAAGGAGCTCCAGCTAATAGAGGTAGCACTTGACCAGGAGCATGGGGATCCCTCTCACTGGGAACGCCATTCGCCTTTCTTTCTCTTCAGCTTAACTTTTTCTGTAAAATGGCTATCTGTGGGCATGAAGTTTAATTTTGTGACAGACGATAAGAATTAGCAACATTTGTGCTGCTAACGTCAGAAATGCAATCTCAAACTGCGTAACTGTTTTCTGTGATGAAACAGCTGTAAAAAGAACACTTCACATATGACAAATCTCATGTGAAATGACTCAGAATTAGGGAAATTTTTTCTTTAAAAACCCCTTAATTATTATTTAACAAGAACTATGGATTAATTAGGACAGCTAACAGAAGCATCAGAATGTTTCTTGCACTTTTTTAAACACATAGTACTACAAAATAGTAGAAAGAAGATGTCTGACTTAGTTTAAAGTAACATGACAAATTCAATGCTATTATGAATGAAATACCACCACAAATAAAATAATAACTATTAAGACATGCAATATGGTTGAATTTTATAGTTTGGGACCAAGAATTGGAATTTTGCAGAAAGTGAATGTTTTGAAAGGCACCTGAAAAACTGAATCGCATCTGCGAGTCTGTATTGCTGTTACTACGAAAAATGCACTTCTCTAACAAACTTTCTTTTCTCTCAGGGTATCTCAGAAAAGGTGCATTCAGATTGTATGTGGAACGTTATGCATTTGCTTCCTAGATTTGCAGTCAGTGTTTACGCCTTCTTCAATTTTTTCAGGATTATCTACTTACTTAATTAGTAGCAGGACCTAGCTTTAAAGAACAGTATTAAGTTGGGATTTGCCATATTATAAATTCCACAGTGCTTCTCATCAGAGGGAACACCTTCTTTCCATGGTTAATCCACAGATTATTCGATTTTGCAGGCTATTTTAATTTTTGTTACTCATAGCAGGAGATATATGCCATTGTTATTTTGAAAAGTAATCAAAGCTAGCAGTAGGAGCCCAGCAGCAATCATTTAAACATTCCACTACCATTTTCAAATAACTTTTCCTCCATCAAAATAAAGTCTGATCAAATCCTTGAAGAAAAAAACCCTTTTACACTGAAAGAGGTAATTCATATAGCACCACATGCATTACTTAATAGAAAAATTACTTAAGTAAGAAAGATAAATATAGTTTTGAAACAGACACTAACCACAGGAAATCACAGTTAGGAGAAAATCCCAGCTCCATTAAACAGTATATTAGTGTTTCTGTGCATGTCAGTGCAGACAGCAACCCACAACATACAAATATTGCTTGAGCTCTGAATTAAGGACCACAGACAGTATGCAGTGCTTTAAATGGGCCTTCTATGATTCGCTGACTTTTTGTGATGAAGCAATCTCTTAAACACAAAAATGTTAAAAAACTAATAGTCAAACCTATGTTTTCCATTTGCAATTTTAAAAAAATCTGTTTTCTAGATTTACTCAAGACAGAATTTCAGCCCGTGGAAACTTGTATCACATCACAGAAATCGCTAGAACTCTAAAAATCCCCATGTTACATTGCTTCAGTTTGGCTTTATCATATATAGTAAATGAGATTTAGGTCACAACATACAAACGTGAATCTGTTCTGGCATCCTAAATTATATGAGTAATGATTCAAAAAGAATTTGAGCACAAGGACTACTTAAACAGTCATCTGTTCATGGATTATAACTTTCACAAATTAAAATCAATTTATCGGTATGTTGCTGTTCCCAGATCCCAAAGTCCACGAGTTCTCACTCTCAGCACCATTCACTTAAGAGTACAAACACAACCCGCGTGCCGTGGAGGTCCTGGCCCTTCACTTGTGCTAACTGCCAAATCGATCAGATTTTTTAAAAACTGATTTCTATTTGTGCTTTACCAGGTAAAATGAACAGCCCCAGTATGTATATACACTTTCCCAAAGCATGCCCACAATTTCCATGGCCTGTTCTACCTACATTCATCAAGAAGACCAAAGTCTTTTCTTTCTCATACAGATTCACTACAGACATCTGCCTTTATTTATGTTTGGTCTCAATTCACACCCATTCAGATATGGGCAGGCATTCAAACTGAATCTGCTCCTAAAAAAGAACATATGAAGAAGCTTCAGCAGGTACAAGATTATCTTGCTTCTTTATTACTCATCTGTCGTCTTTGGAAGCATATTCTTCATGATATACTTTGGCCTCCATTTTGTGGACATAATTCAGAGTTGGTTTTAGTGTCTATGGCCTACGGACAGAGGCCATAGAGCAAGGAAGGAAAATACTATTTTTAATGGCTTGGAAAGTTTCTTTTATAGCTATGGATGTAATTAAAGCCTGTTTAAAATGTAAACTGCCTTAACACCACCACTGAGTTGTAAATAATACAACCTTGTTAGAACTAATTATTTTCATTAGTTTATCCATGCTATTACTAATTGCGATAAACAGAATGCTTATGAACGTATTTCTATGTCTATAGTTCCATTAAAGTTCTTACATGGTCTGTTTTCCTACTGACTTATGCTACAATTTATAGAACAGTACAAGCACATCCACAGCACAGTGCATCTTTGTTTTCATGCTAATTCACTACTGCTGCGAGGTGCTGGCTGCCAGCCTTGGAAACTGAAATCTTCTGTTCATCCAGAAACTACAAACTATGCAGACAGCAATGCCACAAGCTTACACACACAACCCTGCCAGTATCTTTCCACCCTGATTTGAAGAGTCATCCCCAGTACCGAAAGGATGATCTTTGCAGTCATTTCATTCTTGGCTCCCGCCAATGTTAAAGTTGCCAAATTTCACTCACAGCCCTGGGGGACACCATCCAGGTCTAGAGAAAAGTTCAGATTTTATCTCCTCCTTGTTTACTTCTTTTTCCAGGCCAGACCACCTGCTCCTTACTTCACACTCTGACCTTGCCAAGTGTGGGAAAGCTGCTTATGGCTGGGGGCCTTTTTTACGCCACATTTTTTCCCAGCCACTTCACGATCAGCAGAACCTGCTACTCCCACCGCACATAGCAAAAGCAGAACAGTGGTTATGTTTGTTCAGCTGCCAGTCCAATCCCCACTGCAGCCATCACTTCCAAGGCACAGCCTAGGGTTACTACTCAGAATAAACGGCAGAAAGCTGCAGTCACACACACCTGCAGAGCTGTCAGGACTTAAAAACTTAACCTTTAACTCTGTTCGCTTCCTCTATCTACTTATTTGTTTCCCACCATTCTACTCCCATTCTTTGGCCACCTTACACTTCTTCACAACTTCCATCATCATTTCTAATCTCAGTTTCCCTCTTCGTGCCAGAGAAAATAATGAATTCCTTGAGATGAAGCAGGAAAGCACAAAACTGCTTGCAATAGTCTCCATTTGGTTTTATCTTGAACAGGATTGTCTTTTCAACACAGTGAGTGGCCAAGATAGAATGAAATAACTCATTCTGCACTAGATGCATACACCAGCCAGCTTTTACAGAAGCAAGCCAATCTTGCAAAAGAATAACATCTTTCCTGTGTGATAGAAAGATGTTCAAAAAACAGGCTTTCTGCAACAGGATCAGCAACAGCTTGAGGAGCTGGTTGATGGTTTCCTAGTATATATCTGGTGTTGAAGCTCCCAAGAGCCAGTGTGCATTTCCTATATAGGACAAAAATACTTCTGCATAAGGCAAGGACTGTGTAAGTAGTAGATGTTCAATGTGAACGTTCCTGCTAGCAGACTCCTATTGGTATGTTTCCAGAAAAAGTAGAAAAATGTACCTTAGACTAACAGGAGGTAGTAGAAGAAGTGGTGATATTTCTGAACTATATATAGAATGGAGTTTTTTGGAAGCAGGACAGAAGACATAGCCAAGATTCTCCTGTTAGTAAATCAACGAGGGAATACACTCTTGATTATGAACTAATTAAAGTATTCTGAATAGTGCTCACATGCAGATAATAGCGTCTTCTGAGGTCTCTTGCAGCCTTAATTATCCCATAATCCTGATCTTGTGTGGAAGGGAGACTACAACACTGCACTTCAGAAACACTGTTGCTCTCTTTGTAGCCAAAGAGTGTGGTAATGGTCACACTGGGCTATTTTGGAAGCCAGGAGTTGTGATGGAAGTATCTAATTATCAAGACCAAGCCATATTGAATGCACAGAACAAATAAAAAGGTGATCTAATTCTGCAACAACACCATAGACATAAATCTTTTTCTGACAGAAACACAGTTATGCATTGCTTTCTAGTCCTCATTATAGTTTTCCCCCTTATCTCACTAAATATTATTTTTCTGAAAGGTAAGTGTTATAACCAAGAGCTATAACTAAAGATCAAAGCTGAAAGAACTTTCTAAATAGCATACATTATTTTCATCAAAACATAAACAAAATTAAGTCATTAGATAATAAATACAACATCATTTCTTACGTTGATCTCCGGTTAAAGAAGAACTTATAGACAGTCTGAATCAAGGCCTCAATATTCCTTCAGGCACTTACCAACACAATACAGGCAATACTTCCTAATTAATACTATGCTAATTTGTTATATAGAAATTGAGTATTACAACTCACAGAGATGAATAGAGATTAGGGTACAATACCTGTCCAAAGTTAATAACACCGTTTCATTCATTTCAGGTATATCATCAGCTTTAATAGTAATGTTGATTGTAGTATCACTTTGTCCAGATAAGAAAACAACAGAGCCATTAAAAGGACTTATATCATCAGGTGTTACTGCCTTTTGATTGAGGCCAGAGGGTTTCAAACTCCAAAACACAGTTGCTTGACCATCAGTCCCATCTCGATGCAACGCAATGGAAACCTATGAAACACATGAATCTGTTTTGAATTGTAAAATGAGATGCAAAAGCAATTACCCCCTTGCAAATTACCTTTTGAATATGAGCCACAAAATGTTCAGCTTGGGTTTTTTGATATGAAATCAAAGACAGCGTAGCAATGAAAATATATACAGAATCTTATTCTTTTAACCATTTATCATGTATATACTTAGTGGAGATGACAGATTATTTATATCACAAGTCACTAAGCAACTATGAACACAAAAATCCTTGTATGACTGATTTAATCAGTGTCCACCTCTTCAAGACAAAACCTAGATTTTAAATATAACTACCATAATTTTACTCTGGTTATTATAGTGCAGTGCAATCTGTAGTCTGCTTAAGTTAATCAGCAGTTTTAATCTGAGAATGAGAAACAAGATCTGATTCAGGATTTGTGGGAAGATTTCAGTGAAGACAATCAGGGAAAAAAAGTGAAAATGTAGGAAAAAAAATAATTTTAAAAGTTTCTCCAGCTGGGACTCAGGTGCTCAGATGGATGGCAATGCTTATGAAAATTCTTCTTTAGGTTCTCAGAAACCTAACAGGCAATATTGTTGGAAAACACACCCAGCAAGCCAAAAAATATGTTCACATGTAAGTCAGTCAACTGCAAGATACAGACATTTCCATGAAATTTAGGACTGCTATCAGTCCTACCTTACATTACTACCTTTGCAATTAGTAAGAGAGATTACAACTGTCTGCGGCCCCTTTTGTTCTATGTGAGCATCAAGCCCTAACTGGCTTTGGATGCTTACAGAGAAAGCAAAGATCAACCTCACTTTTCTGATGACTAACACATTATTTCAGACCTTAGTTTTACAAGCACTTTTTTTTGCCTTTTTTTTTTTTTAAGTAGGGAATATTTGGCATCAGGCAGAACTTAGAGGAAGGATTTTCCTCACATTAACTTTCAAATGTTACACTGAATATGGCAACCTTTCCTTTCTACAAATAATGTTTTCATAGTAAGGGACAATATAAAAAGATTTACTTACCAGTGTAGCAGGGGAATCTTCTGGCTCAGAAAGAATAATTGGAAGATTGCTAGTAAAGCCTATTTCTCCATTTGCAATATCTGGCGTAATCCTCAGAGAAATATTTCTAATCTCGCCTAATCTAGGACTCACAGGTGGGACTAGAGGAATTCTGTTTACCAGCTCAACTTTTTCCAGCTGTAGGTAAAAGTAAGAAAAAACTGAGAAGTAAGAAGCCTTAGTCCCAAGTCGGAACAATTCCAACATTTCAGATTAAGTTTCACATAAGCAAAAAACATCTCCAGAACAATTTACTCATACTGGCAACATTGTTGGTACAAAAATGTGTAAGTAGGTGTCGGTGGAACGAAGTGGATACCACTGAGCTTTGTATACCTCCCAGAAGATCATGTTAGTGTACGTAACTAAACATGGATCCAGCAGAGAGGGAGACTGAACCTTCTAGATCGGCTGATTCATTACTAGACCTCTGAACAGCAGTATTGATTTGGTGACTGGCCCAGGCTATTGTCCTAACTGCATTTTTTGTGCCATGCATTGATAAAAACCTACTGAAGTCACTGGAACCAGAATAATTTACAGCCTCCAACGAAGCCAAAGAAGGATCCAATCTTCTTACCTCTCTCATACAACTTTAAGGACTTCTCTATAACAATTAATAGATTAGAATTGCATTCAGAATTGAAAATCCATACAGTATTTCAAAACCATAGTCTCCTCTTGTGTTACCATATTTCTGATGGTTTGTTGATACTAAGAACAAATAGAAAAATGTTTGCCCTTTCTTTGAATGAGACGTATCCCTCACTAAACCCAGCCACAGTACTGACCAAGTAAGGAGAGCAGGACTTGTCTGTTTAAATATTTCTTTTAAATATAATTTATAGCATGTCATTCCATCTACATCCATTATTATAATAACTGTTTCTATAACTGATTTGCATATACTTCTGCAAACACTTCACTGGGGCCTGACCCCCTCAATGACAACCACCTTTTAACTCCCACGAGGATGTGTTTTGCTTGGAGTTATCAGATGTTATCATATAGTAAGGCTTTGCTGGAGGAAGGGAAAGTGGCCTTATTTAAACCCCTGTAGTGATCATAAATTACCATTTCAACTGATGATTTTTAAAGTAATTCAATTCTTAAAATCAATCTATATAAAATACTTGGGCTGAATGATATTGAGTATCACACAAAAATATTGCTTGAGTATCACACAAAAATATTCACGTGCATTTGATGATAGATGGAACTGTTTTACAAATACTGTATTCAATATAATTGATTTGCAATCATACCAGTTAGTTGTTGAGAGTCTGAGGAATAGATGGTGGGACTGTTTGTTTCTCTGTTTATCTAAGCTTTCTTAGAAAATTTTCCTGGTCCTGCAATTAACAGTATGCAGGTGGATCGTTGTGTGGTTGTTAGCTCAGAAAAGTTTCTGAAATATTACACAGCTGAAACAATTCACTTTGCTAAGTGTTTCTGATCCTGAACAGCAACTCTGAGATTAAAGTAATGATTAATGAAGAACCGATTTTTTTTTTTTTAGTTCAGTGTTTCCTTTTAAAGTAAATCAGCTCATGAGGAAAAAAGATTGCTTTATGAATTGAATAATAATGACGAGTGGTTTATTAAATTAGTTAATCTTCTTGTCCGTACCAAAACCTGTGCCTCAGACTACAGTAGGCTATTTAACTGAAGATGTCACTGAAGAATGTTAATCTCGCTTTTCCAGTTCCTCTATCCATTCTCTAGATGTGTTTAAGCTTCGTTTCCTCCTCCACTCCTCCTCCCCCGATTTCTGAGCTGATCCTTTATTGTGCCTAGTGCAAACTCTGTAATCTTCTCATTCTAATCATGTTCACTGAGATTATCGTTTATTCACAATGTAGAAGGATTGTCATAGTGATAAATAGGGGTATTTTTCTTCCTTCTCTATGAGTTTCTAAATGAATTTTCTGTGCTGGAAAGCCCCTCTGATTTAGTTTATTCAAACAAAAAGATTTTTATGGTTCATGGAGAAAGTACAGAACACCCCTCGCCTCCCTGGAATCCACACTTTGAAAAGCCAGGCAAAGTGCCTGCATTCTGAAATATTTATCACATGTGCATCTCCTCCGTAGTCTGCACTGCAATGTTATTTATAATGTATCATTTAAAAGCGGCTTGGATTTAGGTATTTTAATTCTTCTATAGATCTTTCAGATTTCACGCCAATGTAAAATGTTCCAATTTTAAGAACCTTAATTTGGTTAAATTGAAAGCCAAGGGGTAGAAAGAGAAACATACCTCAAAATGTAACTAACATCTGCAACACTGATCTAATTTTGTTAAATTCCATGATTAATATCTGAATCCTGTTACAACAGTCTATTTTTTAAAAAATGGTGTAATTAGTAAATAATGATTAGGAATAGAGCCCTTTATGGCATATTTATGGAAGCTGCCCCTAAATAAGAAAGCTTTCTTAGCTACAGAGCTAATAACTTCATTTGGGTTTGGGTTTTTTTTAACAAGTAGGGTCATTTCAATTAAATTAAAAGGGAAGGAGCCACTACTAAATTATATCCTTCGTATTACACAGGCTAAAAAACCACCCCAAAACACAAATGAGATACCTGTATGAGGAAATGAGCACCATTTTGAAGAAATGCATCATTTCTTATTGGTATATTTAAAGTATCTTGTGTTTTTCCTTCTGGAAACATGAGGATGCTTCTTCTAGACATATTTAGAATGCCATCTTTTGCTCTCTCAGGATCCAGAGCTCCAGCTGGAATATACAGTGCAGTATAAACCAACTGCACATCTCCAACTGTTCCTCTCCCCCTTGCAAAACTCAAGGACAAAAAGCGTCCCATTGGATTACTTTCAATCTTCTGATTCTCCAAAGGATAAAATTTTATTAGGCCATAAACATCATCACTGTCCTGAACGTAAAACAGAAGCTGCAAAACAGAAAACAGCATCACTTACTCTATGCTACAGTTACTATACACCATAGTTTTCATGCTTTCACGAAAGCATGTCCTGACTGTCACCATACATTTTTCTCCTTAGTGAATTGGCACTGAAGAAAGAAATCAGATTGACAGCCCTGACGTATTCTTTGTACGCAAGCAGCACAACGCTGACAGTGGCAACTTTCCCACTATGCATCATCCATGTGCCAGAATGAGCTCTGAATAACCGATTTTTTGCTTCAGCAGCCAAAGTGAATAATTTAAAAATGTTTCTGATTGTGAATAATTTCATTTTATTCACCAAGTTCATTCCAGCCATTTTTGAGAAAGACAAAGTAGGGACTTGAGTCACAAAACTGTCAGCAATGCAAGCCACCCTTTATTTAACACATCAAAGGCTATCGTCTTAATCACCAACCCCTCCTCTTGAAGCTGCTACTCTGTGTAAAACATTCCAATAATCATTAAGACAGTAAATGAGCAAGTGAAAATAACTTTCCTGCCTTCTCTTAGCAAGCACTCACTCAAGACAGCATTTACGCAATGCTATGTACATTGGGAATAATTTAAGTTGAATGCTACCGCATAAAAAAGGTCTGGTTTTGTATACTGTACTAAGGCAGATACTTTGGATATGGTTCTACATGCTAAGATTATATTAAGGATTAGTTTGTTGGATTTATATTCAAGCCCAAACCCTTCAGTCAGTTTAGCCAATTAATCAATGCTATCAAAAGTGGTAAAGTCACTAATTATTACCTGTTATTACCTTCTCCATAAGAATTCTAAAAGCAAACTTACCTCAGATGGTTCACTGACTTCTGCACCTCCCTGTATTGTATGGGCCAAAAGTTTCAGAAGATAGGGCTCTGCCTCTTCTGGTATATCATCATTAACAATGTTCAGAGGAAGTGTTACCAGCATCTGCCCTTGATCAAAACTTATCTCCCCCGACTCTGGAACGAGGTCTGCAGTCACCGGTGACGGATCACTGCTATTTCGGATTATAACCCAGGCGACAGAAACATTTCCATGTGTTCCACCATTTCTTACAACTGTGATCCCTTCAAACCTACAGTTTTGAATGAAAATAAAACCCCACAATATAAAATTATAATTAATATTGGTTTGGTTAGTTATCTGTTCCCTGAAAGACTTACACTGACTTAAGTAGAATAAATGTTAACTGCTGCAACTGACATTTGAGTCAGGGCTTAAGGTTTGTGGAATAGTAACACACGTGTAAGACTGTTCTTAGAGTGCTTATGCACTAGCTCTCTGTAATGTCTGTAAAGATATTTGTTAGAACTTACTTTGGTTAAAGTGAGAAAGATACTGAGAAGTGGAGACTTGGCATGTTTTACACTTATCTCAACAAATACATGTCAAATTTCAGAAAACTTTTTCTCTATTAACTTTCTACACCATTTTATAAACGATATCAAAAAACAGTTGTCAGGCATGAACATTAAAATGATGATTGTGGATGAATTACTTGCATCTGTACTGAAATACTAAATTTTCAATATTTGTGACACTGGAAATGTCATGTTTCCTGCATCTGACAAGCACATGACTACATCAAAAAGTCTTGGAATCATGACTTAGAAAAATTTAGAAAGCAAGATTTATTTCTTTACTAAGAAAAGATGAATACTGAAGTGCTGGGCTCCACATACTATAAAATATTATTTCTAAATTGCTCATAGTATGATAGCTCAACACATTACCTGTTTCTCTGGGGATGAACTACCATGAGTAGCTAACAGCGGACATTTTTATTGACATTGTCAATATTGTGTATCAGTCCTGCCTGTAAAATTTGTACAGAACTTTGATTTTAATCTCTGTAAAATTACAAATATTTAGTTTACTTTTAAGTGTAAGGTAAATATTTCATGGGAGACATTCAACAGTTTCTTTTTTTTTCTTTTTTTTTCCTTTTTTTTCTTTTTTTTCTTTTTTCTTTTTTTTTTCCCTTTTTTTCTTTTTTTTTTTTAACCAGAGACTGATTTATAGTACATACAAATATTTACCAGGGAAGGAAGCCAGAAATCTATTTCCCACTTGTATGAACTGGTGTGTGGCGGTATCATGAATTCATTGATACTACCTTTAGATTAAGGGTTTTTCAGTATTCTGTAATGTGATTAAATACTTGAAGTTTTTATATGCAGTTCATAAATATTAAAATACTTCCTGTGTAACAGACATTTCCACTTCCCAACACACTAAGTGATTTCTACTTTATATTTTCAGTAATGATTTTATAAGTGCTTTCAGTGAAATCCTAAAGATGCCTAACAATGTCAAACAAATCTCTTCAACTGAGTAGATACTAGATTAAGATCTGTAGTACCTTGACATTTGGTCTTCATCAATGATAACAGTCTGAGCAAACAGGATACTGTTGATCGATAGTACTCCATAGGGTTTATCATTTGGTTGGATGGTGACATGAACAACAGATGGATTGACCAAAACAGCATCTCCCTGCAAAGTGTCCTTAAGAAGCATAACCTGAAAGGTCTCGGCAATTTCTGGTATGGCATCATCAAGGATCTTAAATTTCATATATGTTTCATGAACTAGAGGTGGGAAAACAATAGTTCTATTTGGCTGTAGATCTAGGAAGTCTACATTAAGCTGTGCATGCGCTGTTGAATTCCCAGTTATGATGGCGTAACTGACAGAGACTTCATGTTCATCAGGTCCAATTAATTTTCCACTGACATCCTTACCACGAACCACTTGAATTGTTACCACATCAACTTCCTCAGGCACCATGTAAGCACTCTGAACAAAACGCACAGGACTGTCATTTTTCTTAATATTAATCTGAATGGAATTTTTTGTGGTGTTTATTTCAGCCCCTCCTTCCACGCTCCTCAGATGAACAACAAAAAATTCATCATTTTCAGGTATCTGGAAAAAAAACATTAGCAACTGGGTGTAAGTCACATTTCAAATACATGCAGAACACTCTTACTGAGAAATATGTTTTATATATTTTACAGAAAAGGGAAATAACACAAACTTGACAGCTCATTTCATATTAAAACAAACAGGAGAGAAGTCTTGCTTTGAACTTTGGCTGAAAATCCCTTCTCAAAATCGAATGTTTCCATTTTCTAAAATATACTTCTGTGCTCTGGCAATACAAAAAAGGGTGGAAAGCCAAACAAAAGCAAAAGAAAAACTTGGCAAGCATCACAAAAAGCTGGATCTTTCCGACTATAAGGAGATCCAAACTCTATTTTTGGAAGCCACCCCTGTTTGGAAACAAGCATTCCTCCCAGTTATTTAGACTTATATCTTGTTTTTATGATGTTGATATTTATTGACCTTTACGCATGCCTGAGAGAATACAGGAACAACTTACGGACACAACCTACCTTGGCCCCCCCCTTCCTATACAACTGGAAAAGGAACACGTCCTACGTTCAGACACACCCACATTCCCAGAGAAAATTTCCATCACACATCTGAGAAAATGTTTTCTGGTGCTTAGCAATTAATTAGGCTCTGGCATTTCTACAAAATGACTGTTTAAAACTACATTGTAGTTTTAGCTATTTCTTCTCCAGTATCTGATGCAGCAGACAATAAAGAATGGCTCATACACCACAAATTACAGAACTTAAGGGTAAGATTTTTGCTTTATATTACTACATTTTATTGCCCAAATCCTGATTTGCTAAACCTATTTAACTGAAAAATACGATTATTTTATTAATACATATAGATAAAAATTAAATCTTTAAAAATTATTTATTATCTTTGAATCTCATCCCTGCTGTGGACTCCTGGAAACTAGTGTTATTTTTCTTCTGAAAGGAATTCCAGGACAAAAATACTTATTTTTTGCTAATGGTAATACTCTGTTATAAAGTTGACAAATCCTTTTAATGCACTTTTGTTTACCGAGCTAAAAAAGTTCCGAAAACCCTGCTGTCCAATATTTCTTCTCTTTCACACTCATTTGCTAATTGGCCACCCTCAGATCCTTTTCTAGGGCTAAGAGAGCAGGCATGCAACTGCCTTTACAGCTGATGCCAATTCTGGTCCTTGTTTGGCTTGTGGCACTTAAACTTGCATAATGTTGTTAACTGATGCAGGGTCTTTTTGTCTACGTGAGATCTGGAAGCTGTCAGTCACCTCTCTCCTATGCTGAGATACAACACAGTTATTTTACCTTATTAGAATAGATGCTAACTTACGTTTCATTTAGTTCACTACTTAATATACCATCTTGCACCATAAAAATACACATTTAAGAGACATGCAGAATGTCCTGTTGTAGTTTACATCTTAGTATCTCAAATAAATGGGACAGTCTGGAGTTCTTAATGGCATCATGACTGACCAATTAAAAAACAGTCAAACTTCAAAGAAAACAGTATAAAGAATTTCCAGTGCTGCCTTGCCTCTTTCATTTACTCTTAACAAAGTTTCCATTATTCGTCACTAAAAAAGGAAATGTATACAATAAAATTACTATAAATGTAGTGCTGTGCAGATAAGATCTGCAGTCCCCTAGTTTCTGTAGGAAAAGTGCTACCCAATTCAGAAAAATACAAAAAAAAATGCAGGAATATGCAAAAAACTGATTTAAAGTTGCTCACTTCTGAGACAGGCACTTTTTTGCTATTAATTTTTTCTCGTGAATTTCCTCATAAAGTTGTTCTGTATCATATTTAGTTATTTCGGTTCCTCTATTTTCCCTCTCATCCCCATTATAAATTAAAAAACAAAACCCAGAAAAGAAAATCATGAGTAAGAACAATGAAAATCGTAAGTTGAAGAGTAGAATGTTTTGTTTACTCTGAAATAGAAAGAAAGGCTCACAACATATAAACTTTTTTTTAAAGACCAATCTAAAAATTTTAAAATTTTAATTATCACCCAGTGTTTATACTCTTCACAAGACTGCCTGTTTCTTATAGGAATCTTATCCATTTCTAGAAGTATTTTTTAAAATATGTTTCTATCCTGATAATATATCTATATAAAAACATATAGATTTTTTCAATCTATCTTTTCCCTGTGAATATTTGATGTGTTAAAGTCTTTCTCTAGTGGCAAACATAGCTTGCCTGCTCTTCACACGAAGGGGAGCCAATCAAGTTAACAAAGAATAAACTGGATTCTTATGCATTGCAGAGGAGCTGCACAGGCATCACTGAGGATGTAATGAAAAATGCATCATGTAAGCAATCTTATGGTCAGGTTCCTTTTGCCTAAACAATTAATAAAGACAAAAAGGAGAGCCTGAGTTCATTATGTAAACATAACCTGAATTTGCAAGGCAGACAAGTAGGGAAAAGGAGAGCACATTTAAAAACAAATATAGAAAAGTTAAATACAGAAAGGACAGTCTAATAGATAAACCTATATCTAGTTCAAGAACAACATCCTTGGCCATACAACAAGGACCTCAGTGTTCCATCTGAAAACAAGTGTAACACTTTCCTGATTATTTATACATTTATTGCAGTAGCACCTAACAGGTCTAGTCAGAGCAGCCAGGATATGTTCAGAAACTAAAAATATTCACCGATGAGAATAAGAGAGGTAGCATTAGAAAGAGTAAAAATGCAGCTCATAGAGCCAAAATTTAACATCACTTTAAAAGTAGAAGTGCTTTTAACCTTGTTTAAACCAAGCATTTTTGTAAGCATTTACTCTAAATCTCTCCAGAACAGCAGTTAACCTTCTACATATCCAAGCCAAAAATGAAGTTAGCTTGTTCTTACCTGATCATCAAGCACTGTTAAATTACAAATCAGTATTGATCTCCCAGGGGTAAATGTGATATTTCCCCTAGCTGGACTTAAATCTTCTTCAGCTGGGTTTGGTCCATCTTCTATCTGCAAAGAATTGATTCTTACAATAAGAAATATATAAAACAGGAATACAAATCTAGTACAAGTACAACAATCAGTGCACAGCGTGTGACATGCCTAACAGATGACTATTTATTCAGTCATCTCCTGCTCACAGGTGCACACCTTCAGTTGTGAAAATCTGCTTTTGTTGGCAGATGGAGTAAGTCAGAGTAACCACTCTGAAGAAACTGTGTATTGCCAGAAAAAGAGGAAGAAAACTACTACATACATAGGCGTATGAGGACCCTTTGGTGTCTACTGATGCATAATTGACTCTTTCACATAACACAAAGGATTTTTATTCTAATTTAAGACAAATCACTACTATTTCATAATAAGTTCCAAGACAAAATAATAGCAGTTACTGGTTTTGTGTCCTTTCGATCTTGACTTGTGATATTACAGATAATACACTTAGCAGTGAAACCTAAAAGACTAGGAAGCCACTTACAGGCAATATGATTTTTTTTTTAAGAGTCTTGTAAATACAAGCTACATTGTGAGATGGACCTGATCGATTGGACAGATAGTAAAATTTATTGGACCTTAAAACAAATAGATCTGCAATATAGTACACAGAGAATCGCATCCTGTATTTTAACTATACACACTGTATTTAGTATGCAATAAAATCTGATACCAATCTTTTCAGATTTTGACAGGCTTAGATTAAACCCTTGATGATGTATAAGACTAGACCACTGATAAAGAAATATCCAGATGAAAGTAGTTATATATAATTTTAGAGTATATAACATAATCGGAGCTAGATAAGAAAAAAAAAAAGCAAAAACACTGAAGGCAATAACTGTGTCACATTCAAATCAAGTACATTAATAATAGCCTAAATATTCGACATTAGTGGTTTAGTTTCTGGGAATTCAAACTGCAGTTTTACAGATACAGAATTTCACTAAAAACCAGGCTCTCATACTTACATGTTCAATGTTGGCACAAGAATTAAAGACACACTCAGATGTTTATTTGTAAAATATAGATAGATTTGAAGAAATACATAAGATATTTCTTACACACATAATATATGTTGTTTTCTGGTAATACCAACTAATGCTGCCTCAAATATCTTCCTAAATGACAGAGAACACTCAGTTTTCTCTAATAACTCTCAATTTTCCCTCAAATTAAAGAGTCAGATAATTACAATATTTTCCATTTCACAGGTAATATCTTTCCATTTTATGAAACCGATTTAACAAATGCAGACACAGGTATTTTTCCTGTCTTTCGCTTTTATAAACACTTTGATAAGTTATGATTATGGTCTCACAGTCTCATGCAACAGACTAATATATGAAGCCTTTTTGATAAACTCACCTCAAAAGTTACGACAACTGTCCCGTAGGTTCCCCTCTCCCTAATTAGAGTGAGAGGCACAAATTCGTTTCTGCCCCTGGGTTCATTCACTGTGATTAAGGCAGGCTAATGAGGAAGAAAAGGGACAGGCAATCAGGCACAGATCAAACATCACAGCAGAAGGAAGAAACTGTTACCATAGAAATACCAAACTCCCACAGACAAGTTAATCCAGTCTGCAAACCAGTCCACTGATGGCACACATTTCCTAGCAACCAATTAGTTCAGCTAATAAAAAGCTTGAAAGATTTCAGATAAAAAAATTATCATAAGTTATGCAAGTAGAGTGGGGTGTTTTTTTAATAAATTAACACAGTCAATACACACAAAGCACTGGCATACAAGCACTGGTATTTATAGGAGATCCTAACCCCGTTAAAAATAGGTTTTCTCCATTAAAAAGTCATTTATTAGATAACTAGCTATAAATGGATCTGTCTATCAAACTGTTGTAGCTGAAAGACTTCAAAGAATTACACCAAATCAGGCAGCAGCATGGCTTACTACTATTGTGCAAAAAATTTCTTGTGTTAATTGTTCTTTTTCAGGGATGAACTTCACAAAGATTATTTTGCTATAATGCTGGCAATAAGGCACAGTTTCTCTTTCTACTAACACAAACTCTGTATTATTGCAAATATTCTACACACCACTAGAGTCACATCAGTGTCTTATTGCAGAAGGTGTTATACAATGCATATATCATCACACTGTTCTCTCAGCTTGAAAGTATAAAATTGCTCACTAAATATGGGAATGTATATATTCTCGAGATTTCAAAATTCCATTTTTAACTATTACTCCTCCCTTCTTCCCTACTATATTTGCATCTTGACTTACAGATGAAAGGCAGTGGGACTGAACAGCTTTTAAAAAGTTTTATATTTAAGATGAGCAACATAGATATTCAGCCAAGTGTGAGGGTCTCAGGCAACATCTCAACATCTAAAAGCATACAGAAGTATTAAAGCTGTATATATGTGTAAATTATGTACGTATATATGTGTAAATTATCTCTAGAGATGTTTTCTAAGATGTAACTCAGAATCAGTTTTCAAAGGATTCAGTTGAATAACCAACCAGCACCTTTGAAAATTTCACATTTATGTTTTCTAAAATTTTCACATATACCATATAAAAAGCCATACCATGTTAAAAGAAATTATTCCAAAGGCATTGTCATTTGACAAGATTGTTACAGTGACAGATTTGGGTGAGCCAAGCTTTATCCTTGCAGATGGTTTCTGAAAGTAACAAAACAAAATAAGACATTAAATATGGTGATGGGCAAAACTCACGCATTTTTATTTTACTGTCTTTTAAGAGTAAATATTAGCCTATAATAAATTGTATGTCTTTTAATTATATATTACAATGAAAATTATTTAAAGCAAGAGACTGCACTAAAATAATTCTTAATTATTGAGGAAATACATTCTATACAGTCAATAACAAAGTGCTTGAAACTAACTTTGTAAATGATTAATCATAGTTGGCAATCTATTAATGACACCATAGCAATAGGGAACTAACTATGAAGCATGTAGCACTGCCAGGAACAAACCAAAGGAAGAAGGAAGGGAAAATATGCATTTTTATACTCACTGCAAACATCCCCTGAGATTAGTAATAGTTGGCAATAAAACATAAAATTTATTTTTATTGAACTGACATCAAGCTTAGTCATGAACTGTTACCAAAAAAAAAAAGTGAATGCTCTTGTAGCATGACTCCTGTGAGACAGAACAATATGAAGAGACTTATTGATAAGTATTTTAAACATTGCTTGTTTGTTTTCAGGTAACCCTCATTTACCCTCTGCTTCTGGAGGACTGGAAGTCATTCTCTTTTTTTTGCTACTTCCACCCTCTCTTTCAGGTACGGTCTAGGCAGGAAAACAGGAAAGGTTGGGATTCTCTTCACAATCAAACACTTCTGGGCTCTAGTACACCTTCAAATATCCACAGCTCAATGCAGTGCCCAATGAAGTTTCAGACTATGTCTATACTGCACAGCAACACCATATAGAGACACCCACAGCAACAATAAACCATTCCAAAAAGCAGTAAGCACCATCCTGGCTACTCTCCACATTTTAGTTCTTACCTGTTAGGATTCAGACACACAAGCAGTATGACCACATTGAAATCTATGGAACACTATTCATTTATGTCAGATTACCCACTGTTTTCTGGAGAAAAGATAAATTGAAGAACCAAGACTTACTGGCAGTGTCAAGTGAAATGTGAATGTCTCATCAGCCTCGGGAAGATCATCATCGCAGACAGATATATACACTGTCCGGTTTGTTTCTGTATCGGGTATAAATGCAGCTGCATATGTGTCAAAAAAGTCTCCTGTGTTTTCTCCATCAATCTGCAATAAACACACAACTGATTGCCACCTTCTTCTTCCTCCACTGTATTCTGGAGTCATTTAACAGACTTCATACACTCTTCTTTACACATAATTCTTCCTGCAATTTCCCCTGCTGTCATCAGTTAAGTTCCGGGCAGAAGGTATAGATAATAGCCCCTTGTATCCATGCTAGGTAACCAGGAAAAAAACCAAACCAAACCAACCAAACCCAACACTTTATTCAGAACCATTTACGATTTCCTTCCTTGCAACTGGGTATCTGTTGCATAATGCAACATATGACCAGGGGTTTTAATGGAAAAGCTATTCCTAGCACAGATCTGTACATCTCATAATACCCTACCTGAATTAAACTTAAGATGTAACTGCCCTCTGCCTTCCTCTCTGTTGAGGGACTAGAAGGAGCCTAGGCATTTAACTTAGATTAACATTTTGATTGCCAAAGTTGGCAAGAGGAATTCTTCTATAATGAACAGCCTTGCTTTCATTTCAGTCAACAAAAGAAAATCGCCCTGATTCTACTGTAAGTAAGGTAGGTAAAGGAGAGATTGCAAAAGCAGTAGTGTCAAGACTAAGGTTAAGCTTACACTTGGAAGCTGAGACTAAATGGAGAGAAGCAACTGAACCAGCACAGCTGCCATGCCTGAAACTACTGTCCTTATAGGCACTAAAGGTTTGAACAAACCATTGTGAAAAAGGCTATCCTTCCTTGGAGAAGAGCGAAGTTAGAGGTCCAACGAAGAGGAAACAAAGTACAGAAGGTATTTCTGTGGCTCTCACCTAGCATTGGACATATCAGCAACTACTTTTTTATGTATCTGAGCCAACACTAGACTTACCTAAAAGCTCTTACGAAAACAGGCTATAAACATCTTCCTAAAAGAGCTGTGCAAAATATTCATGAAACAAATTTCACAGTTTCAGGTCCTTAATAAGGAAACTAAGTTACTCTGCTTGTTACAGCAGTAAAGAGCACTGGTTTTCAAGTACAATCCCACTTTCTCAAGGTTTTTTCCTCAGATGTTAATAAAATATGAAATCCTCACAGATCAATTTCTATTCCTTGTAATTTCTAAGACACGTGTTTTTCATATTTAGTTACCGGAGAATAAAACATTGTGCAGGAGCGTAGATAATTTCTTTTGCCTACAGACTGCAGAAATGCATAAGCAGTACATCTTCTGTGGTACAGTGCTGTGTTCTCATGTGGTACTTACACCACACAGCATCTTACTCCATACGCATATAGTATAGTACACTCTAAGGGGTTTAAACTTTTAAAGGGAATACAATCAGGATCATGGTTAATAACAGCTAAGAAATAAAGGAAATAATGTAAAAATACTATCTCTGATCTCCAAATGAATTCAACAATGTAATTTTTAAAATTCATATGGAAATCTGACTCAAATAGCAGAGTACCTATTAAATGGCAAGGTCTGCAGTAATCTGGAAAAGGAAAAATTGTTATATATCCACATTTTCAGTATGATCTCACAGCCACAATCAAAATCAAACAAGTATATCAGTCTGGACTTCTGGCTCCTTGAGAAGATGTTTATACCATTATTTTGAAACTATTGACGCAGCCAGCAGGAATTTACTCAGCTACAGAAAGTGGGTGTTGCTTCTTCAAAGTGAAGCATTGTCAAAAGAGGGTGAAATGCCACCCTCCTTTTCATTGGCTTGATAAAAACAGGCACCATTCAAAACTTCAGAAAGATATTAATATTTACTGAAAATATAACTGGCATAGTTTCTTACCGACACAATTGCTGTGATGTTAGCAGGCTTCCCTGTCCTTTCAATTACAAGTCGTATAACAGTTGTACTCGTTTCATTAACTACAAATACTGTTTGTCCACTGAACTTCACTTCTGTTTCTCCAGATGTAAAATGAATGAGTAATGCTAAAAGCAAATAAACTAATAAAGAAGCAGAGGGCATCCCTACAGAAAAAGAAAAGAATAATTAAAAATAAATTGTGAATCTAAAATGCACAAAACATTCCCAGTTGACCTTACCAATCCAGTCAGCCCTTCTCAACCCTTCAAATACTGTGATTATCTGGTGAGCTGCAGAAATGAGATGAAAACATGCACAGGTCTCAGCTATAATCAAGTCAGATAATATAATTATCATCTACATCTAATTCTATTTTCATAATTTTCACCTAGTGATTTTTCTAGATAGTATTTATCAACTTTTTTCAAGTGGAGGAATAAGAAACTTCTTTTAGGAAAAAAACAATGACATTGCCACAATTGTTTTCATTTTCAACCAACAAATAATTAGCTTAAAGGTTGACAGTTCTATTTCCACTTTCTTTGCTCTCTTGATTCTCTTTAGAAATAAACATGAACTGGCGGGAAGGGTGAAGGGTTGGATGTTTGCAGTCATCTCATAGACCACCTTCTGACATCTTATGGACCATGAAATGTCCTTAAACATTTGCATATTTACTTGAGATTCTTTTCACTGCTTCTCTTATCCCATGATCCTTTCATGTTTTCCTGTCACAGAGAATCAATGTGGCACGTTTTAATGCCATTGTAACCTTTGTACAGCCAGATCTTTATTTTTTTTTGTTTCTGCACAATGTCTAGCTTTCTGCTAGGATAAGACAGCTTAAAACTAAGGTGGTTTATTTCTCTCACTTCAGACTCAAGTTATGTAATGTAACATACAAGTTTGAGTTCCAGTGAAATCATCAGGTGTTGATTCTGTGAAAGACGCATTTTTTAAGAAGCTCTGGCACAACAAATTGGAAACAGCAGCTGTGTTGTGCAGAAACTCATACTGTACAGCGCTGACCAGAACTAAGATTTTCTTGGATACTGGATGGTGCAGATTTCTGTCATAAGGATCTGAGCAATTTTTGAAGAAACCAAGAGAACAAAGTTGTGCTCCAAACACCAAAAGGCATTACAGCATGGATCTTCAATGGAATTAGTTCTTTCAGCAAGTTTCTTCTAATCTGTAGTCACTGTTTTATAATGATATTTTTAAAAATTTCTGTACATAAGATACCAACAATATTTGTGTGATTACACATATAAATAAAATGTTGCTTTGCTTAAAATTCTACTTCCAAGTGCTATGCTTACCATACAGATCTGTCAATGACAGTTGGATAAACTGTGCAGAAAATATTACATTAATATTTGCGTATCAATAATATTTAAGCTCAGCCATGTTTGCAAAGCACTTGCTTTCATTACATACGAGGGACGGTAAATGAATATTTAGTCGTAAATGACCACTGAAGCAGAAAATGTCATGCGTATACTGAAATGTATTTTCTGTAAAGTGTGTGCCAAATTTGTAATCAGAATACACTTGAGGTCGTGCGCAGATTCTGAGTGTATTATGTACGCAGTCAGGCAGTTTTAATCTTGCACAGAACAGAGAATAAGATAGCCTTCAGACCACTAAAATTAACACAGCTTCAGAAAGACTTCAATACTTTGATTCATCTTACAGTAAATTCTGTCTGGCCAAGGGTTAATTTTACATTGTGAGGACTTGAAATAAACTGCTTTCGGGCAAGTTAAAGAACAGAAATTATCCACAGACAAAATGTATTAAGTAACTCCAAGTTGGAAGTACAGTCAAGAAAATTATCGGAGTCTCTCAGAATTCCTACAAGCAAAGACTAGTGGGATGACAAAATTAGCCAGTTTTAATTACTTGGAATAAAAAAATCACCTAGCTCTACTGAACATCATAGAGAGAACAGGTGAGCAGTGAAAGTAAGCATCAAAAATCAGGACTAACCATTTTCCCTATGAAAACACCTATCCATTTTACAATCTATTGGAACAGTGTTTTGTTATTTCCCACAAAAATGTCACAGCAAAAAATAATTTTGCTGCAGAACTTCACATCACTACAAACTTTTATTACCATGAACACAGCCCTTCAAGATATCCATGGCTCTTACTGAGAAGCCAATGTGTAAAAGAGTTTCAGGAACAATGCATGATTACTACATATCTATCTATTTAGTACTTCCAGTGCAGAAAAAGTAGGAAGCAAAGATAAGATATATATACACAAAATTCCTGGGATTTACGGTTGTCAGTATTTCCAAAGCTGACCGTATTACCTTGCAAGATGTTTTTGTTGTTTTCAAGTGGAACTGCTCTGAAAAACACAAACTTCAGGCTGGAAAGAGAACAGTTGTGTAACCTTTGTAAACTCTGCGACAATTACACTGTCTGCAGATGCAGGCATCATCCCTACTAAACCGAGGAATTTGTTGACCTTTTAGCTTCAGCTGTTACCTTGTCATAGACTTCGCAAATATCTTCCCACGGTACATGCTTCTAGTAAATAATACTGAAAACATGATCCTTGAGGGCAAGAATACAAAGTTTAGAATTACTTGAATTCTATTACTTCTACTAGAGAGCATTCTAAAACTATAGGATTACTCCTGTGGAACAAGAGAGGTTTCACAATCATACCATCAATTATTTAGCTGGTGTGTATGCTTCCTTGTTACATTATTTGTACTAAGATTTACTTTGCATAGCCTGCCAAAAGTAGTTTTTACACTGTTTATACAAACTCAACTTTGAAAATCATTATTATTTTTTAAAAATTGATGTCATATAGTTAAAATAACATAAATCATGACTTAAAGAATGCAGAACAAATTTATTCAAATAGCCAATAAAATATTATATGTCATAGTATCTTACTGAATATGAACTTTGTACACTAAATTCCTACAGAAATGTAAAAGGGAACACAATTTGTTCCTTATTAACTGCATTGCATAAAGTTCAGCAGAAGCCTTTGCAAGATCAGGGATTAAAAGACGACTCTTCCCCACCTCCCTCACACCAGTGTATCATGGGTGAGTTTATTTTTTTCAAATGAAGCTGAAACTCTAGTCCTTGTTCACTGCTAAATTTTGGTAAGCTGTGTTTGGTGCATCAAATACTCCCCTCTGCTTCAGCTAAACATTATTCAGTTCAGTTCTCTCAATCCAGGATATTTGGTCAGGCTTTAAAATAGATTAATGAGTCAAAGTCATTTAAATGTTTTTGAAAGAACAACAAGCAATGGAATATTCTATAACTTCAGAGTATATACAAGTCAATGGACCAACTAGTCTGTTGCTGTGTTCCGACTAGAGCCATTTCAAATAAGAATTGGTAGTATCACTGCTAGTTTAAAGCAATGCTAAGTTCTGAGGCCTAGATGATATTTGTAAGGGATTTATAAAAAAAAATTCTGTCATCAAAACCACAAGGAAGTACCTCTCAAAAATTAACTAGACATTTTTAATGGTATTAAAGAATATTAAAAGTCTAAAAATCACATTCTTCAACCATATAATTTAAAAAAGTAAAGAAATCTAACTCAAAATTCTGAGTCACGATCTCTAACTAACATTTTATTTCAGTCTTTTTTTACGGCACTTTCTGAAGCGCATTTATGTTTCCCCCGAAAAGACAGAACCCCAGCGTAAGACCCAGCAGAGCACAAACAGATTGCACGCAGTAATGTCACAAATTATGTGAGGAATGCCATTTCAATCTATGGCCTATTTGGAGCCAAGGAGAGGTAGGCTTATGCAACTGGTGTACCTCGTAACTGATGAATTACCTGGACTAGCTTACTTTTCTCTAGTTTCTGGAACAAATTTCAGGTGAAGACTGTAAAGTTTATAAAGAATGAGTGGTCTTTTCTGTGGATTTTTACACTGGCTTCCGTGCTTAGTAAATCAAAACCCTTAAGAATGAAAAGATTTCCTGGTTGCTTTCATTGAAGGATGAGGGAACCTACAGACGAGTGGCACATGGAGAGATCAAGATGGGAAATGAAAGGGCTGTGAAACATTCCAAATCTGAAATGAGTGGAAAATACCAGATATGGAATCGAGACTGGCAAAAGAAAGAGGAGCTCACTAAGAAAAAAGCAGATGGAATGATGGATTAAGTACTCTGAACCTCAGATGTGCCACTGCTGCTCCGGAGAAGAAATGACAGGTATGCTAAAGCAGCACCTCTCCCACCCAGCAGCTACAACTTGAATACCACCACTTGTTGCACAAGTCATTGTAGATTTCCAAAGTCCACGGACACAGCAGAGCAAGCGTAAAGCCTAATGCACTTTTCACTGCCTGTCCTTGTCTACTCCCCGTGACTACAAATACCCAGCCAAGTAGAACATTCAAAAATTGGCATGCCTCGTACTTTGCATTGAGTACAGCATTACAGCTATCAATGGTTGCCAGAGAGAAGTCTATTCACAGTAGAGATGTCAGCACCCAGCAGCATCTTTGGCTGAACACAATGGGAGAGAGATACATGTGCTCTTTCATATGTAAAGAGGAGATTCTCTGTAGTACACTGGAACAGCACAGAGCAAGAAGTTTCACAAGGTCATCGCCTTTGCTGCACCTGTTGTAGAAACATATTAAAAACTTGCGTATTTTCAGCATTTTTATTTTAGGCATTCTCAGAACCACTGAAATGTACAACCTAGAACAACCTAGGAAAGCAGTAGGAATTATAAAAACTTTAATGTACTGAACTTCTGCTTTTATGTCGTCATGATCCCAAATTAAGAAAGAAATATTTTATTTCAGACTGGGGTTTTTCTTTCTCTCAAAGTTCCCACAGTTCACACATATGCAAAGGAGGTCACAACAGCTGCACCTGCAAAACCCAGCACTCGGACAGTGGGTATTACCCTAGTCTGCTTTGTCGGTTGTTTCTTTTTTGGTTTGGGCTTTTTTGTTTAGATGTGGGATAAGTCTCTCACTCTAATAGAGACTGGAAAAGAGTGTGTTCCAAAGGTACTGTTTCAAAATAGTATCTTCTTATATCTCTTTTTTTGCCTTCAACCTGCTTCCAGGTAGATAAAGTATGAGAGTTATAGTAAGTCAGACCAAGTACTGCTTTGTCTGCGTCCCTGGATCGCGCTAATAGTT